GAGTACCTATTTTTCTCAAGCACTGCATAAGTGCAATTTTTAGGTACTTTTTACTTTCCATTTTGTTCTATTCCATTTTGTTCTACTCAATACCTCTACATCACTACATCTGCAGGGGGCAATTGTCCTTTGGCCAGATTTATTTGACTGCTTTACTTATTTTATAGACTTTGATCCATTACATACCAACCCATTACCCATTAAGGCGTGAGCAAAAATAATCCCATCCTATATAAAAAATAAAACTATGACATAGCCATCTAGCCTCTGCTTTACTTTTAATACTTTAATGACATTTTTCTGTCAACACTTTGTAGCACATATTTAAACTGAAATGAAATCTTGAATGAAAGACTAATAGTGATATTTGTAGAATGTTGTAATGTCTCCTTTATTTAAGTAAATGATCTACCGCTGGTTACTCAGACACACTAAATGTGCATTAGTAATAAGGCAGACATGAATATTGTATCCATAATGAGAGTTAAATAATGAGTAAAAATATTGAGATATTTTTGCATTTTATTTTGCATATCATCAGAGAAACTTTTGAAATTCCCACTCAAATATGATAACCGTAGTAGTTTGGGAAGAAGGCTGCATGGGGCTCTCAGCGCTGGGTTGCCTTGAATGACCCCCTCTGTATCACAGACAAACTGGCAACTCTCATCTGCTGCTCACCTTGAAATAAGAACAAACAATACCAGTGTGCCCAGGACGGTTAACTTTCAGACCCCACCAATCCACAAAATAACATTTACTTCACGCAGCAGCTGTGAAAATATCAGGTCTTGGAAAGGAAAGGAAGTGTGGGCCTATTTAGGTTGGTCATCAGTGTGCTGACACTGATTTTCTTTTTCCAGTTATGTTGTCTGGGACTATTTCTGTTCCTTTTCCTTGTTCGACACACAAGTGAAATAGCTGCTAATATCCAGAAGTAATATGGTAAACTATTATACAATTTAAGCTTAAAGTGCAAGTTTTGGAAACACTCAGACAGGGTTGACAAATCAACAACCCCTGTGATTGGGCATTTGTGGTGGGCAGGAGCAAAGCAGTCGCCACTGGTGGTAAATTATTAGTAAATCTTTGTAAACAGGTGGTTCTTTTTATTTTTTGATGCTAGGTTTTGCAATCTCATTTATTTACCATCACTTTTAATTATTGATCATTTAGTCAAAACAGACGTAGTAAGGTTGTTTGACTGTCCCTATAATTGTTCTTTTGGGTATCTTCAGTAATGATATGTTTATACCTGGTTCCAGGCTGCAAACGTGTATTTTGTGCAAACCAGTCATTGGGTGGTCTGAGCTCAGGTTCTAATAATTTCCCACAGTATAATTTTCCCACATTTTGTATCACTTTCTGTCATTGCTTTGAAATTTCAAGTCACATGAAAGAGGAGCTGATGCAGCTTAGAAAACGTCTTTAAATCCATTGTTTTTTAGAACATGCATGATCGTACCCACGACTACACTTATGGAGCTACTGTATATCTCCTGCTGGACAAAACAGTGGACATGATGGGAATTTGTTCTATCTTCTCTTGGAAACAGCAGTCTCACTGTTGAGGATTTACAGTTCTGAAAGTTCAACAACATTTTTCACGGAAAGTCGTTGTTGTAGTTTCATGCAACCTCAGGCCAAGAATGTAAAGTCACTATAGCGACTGCAGTCAGAGTGGATTGGAGTAGTCTCTTTTATCTGCGTAATCACTACTTGACACTCTGATGTGGTCTGGCTGGTGCTAGACCTGTCAAGCAGCATAATGTAATAATGCCCTGACCTGTGTTGTTTGGTTGAATTGTTAACTCTGGGGCAAATGTGTTGGAGGTGAACAGCACAGCAAGCCAACAGATTTCCACAGTATCTGTAGCTGCATTCATGTCACTGTAACAATACTCCAACTGTGTGAAAGCAGTGGAGGAAATGTTTTCTCAGAAAAAATGGTAGAGGTGGAGGTGGTTCTGGACTTTCACTGGAAATGTCTGTGTTTTTTTTTTTAATTTTCTGAGAAAGACATGTATAGTGTCCACACAGATTCAGAACTAAACCACTGAACTGGTAAGAAAACACCTACTGCAACACTTCAGTTCCTCTCTCACACACAACAAAAACTTACTCTTTTTTTAATAAATATATATCATTTAGTATTCATTTTTGACTTGATCATTAAACTGATGGGTTTAGTCCATAGCATAAGCACAAGATATGTTTTTTGTTTTTTTTTTAATTGTAACTGTTAACCCGCTGGATATACTTACAACCCTAACCCCAAAGAATTTGGTTAACTAGGTGGTTTACGTTTTCAGTTGTGAGTGAAAGTTTTTAGCTCGACTTGCCACCGGTGTTCAAGGTCTCCAGAGGATAGATCCTAATGACTTTGATGATCCCAGGACTTATGACCAAACAAAAGCAAAAGCAAAACTAATGACATGCCTTTCTCTACTCAATCTACTTTGGGTTAAAAGCTAATTAAATGTTTTCACGCTAACAGGTTAAACTCACATGAAGGACATGGTAAATATTAACTTTCTAAACATCAGTATGTTAGCCTTATTGTTTGTTTGTTAGCAGGTGCCTAAGTGCAGCTGCAAAGAGCTGCTAGCACAATTGTGTAATCTTGTTCACTCTTACACAGTCATCATTTACCACAAATTACTACACCGACACAAGGAAGTTAAATAGTTTATTAGAGAGGATGTTATGTGTTTTCTTTTCACAGGATTGGAGCTCAGGACTGTATGAGAGAGAAATATGTCTTCCGTTTCTCATAATGCTGCTAGATCCAACTAGAAACTGTTTTAACACTCTGTGGTGTCTCTGTGGTAAAAACGATTATGAGATCAGGCTTTGCAGAATGTAAACTCAGATAAGGTGACTCTCTCTTTGAGAAAAGCAAATGATGGTGGTCTCACAGTAACCACAGCTGGACATATAATCTTTTATGGATAAACCCCTATGTTGTAGGATCTGATAAAGCAAGCCTGTTAATGATACCCTATGTTGTATATAAATATTCACTTACAGTATACCGTCAATTACATGATTCCCAAAAGACAGGTGAAAGAGATTTGTTTTTAAGGTTTGACGACCTTTATTATTCTTCCAAATTACCAGATGCTTGGTTAAATCTGAAATGTCAGGTGGAGGAAGTATGAACCACTGAGCCACTGTTCTATAAATTTCTTTATGCCTGCTTTCCTGTTCTATCAAGCATGAATCAGTTTTAAGGTTTCACAGTCAATGTGACATCAATGTGACATTTATCTGACAAGCCCAGGAACAGTAGATGGTCACAGGCTAATGTCTACATTATTCAGAGTGACTCAAAATTAAGGTTCACCCATCTGGTTCATGTTTAGCCTGGAGTTCTCAGTGAATTCAATTTTGTGTTTGGCCTTGGGCGTTTTTTATTTCTCACCGGAAACCATGATTCTGCAGCTGCTGACACAGGCAGTCCTACACAACCACAACACACACCTGTGAGGGGGAACCAGACCAACACAAACCAAGGTTTTTTCTGAATGCCACAGAAAAATGTGCTCTCTACTTCAAAATACATAGAACTGTTCACAGACAAACCCAGCTCTGGCCAGCCTGTTTGGTTGCACGGCACATTGGTAAAAATGAATAGGTTGAATTATTAGGCATCATTTGCAAGGTGCAGTAGGAGACTAACTAGTATTGTGAGCTTTCTTCACATTGTCAAAGCCACGTTTGATCATAATCATTTTGAACGTTTGATTTAGAATTTATTTTGCAAATAATAAAACCGGTCTACAGAGTCAGGAAACCTGAGTCCACCCTACTGCACCTGTTAGATTTATAGAAACAAAGCTAATGTACTCTCTTTGTCTTCGAACCCCCCTCTTTTTCACTCGAATATTATCTGTTGTCACCTTCCCCCAGCCTAACAGTAAAGCATCACTTTCCCAGAAAAGATATCCTTATCACTGTCCCACCCATGAGCTCAGCAGGGGGAAGCTCATAGACAGAAGAGTATGTGGACACAGTACAATCAGCCTTTAACAGTACCCATGGTATACTGAGAAACAATGTGATGTGACAGCTGGAATGTAAACTCTCCTAGCCTTGAAGTCTCGGCACAGTTGTTCCAGGATGTACAAAAGAAATTTCAGTTGCACCACTGTGAGACATTTCTAGTAAAAATAGATAAGGAAGTAGTGAGTGCTAATTATTTCAACAATAGCAAGTAGGGGGTACACAAAGGCAACTCTCAGTATGTTTATTTCCATCTCAACACGTATTCATAAAAGTCATGTGAGGAAGTAAAGGTAGATGAGGTAAAAAGGAGGATGTGAATGCAACGTACATGTCCCATAGGATCCTCAAAACCCAACTGCCCCTACTAAATCTGCAGTTCGTTTGTTCTTCACCTTTGTGCTCATGTGCTGAAGTGAAACGTAGCAAACGCAGTCACAGAGCAGAGATGACTACGGATGATGCAATTCTCATCTAGGGTGAGGGCAGCTGAGGTCCCGAGGAGGGTCGTACAGCCCTTTTCGTTTTTTGCTGTGCTGCAGACGAACGATACACTATCTGTCCCAAAACACGGCCACGCTTATGCACCCAGGGCTTGGCTCCAAAAGGCCCTGACATCTCTGGTTACATAATAAAACACGTTGAGTTGGAGAAAGACGTGAACAGTGTACCTTTAGGTATTTGTACTTGTGCTTAACATGAACCGCTTACATGAATTACATTAAAATGCAAGGACTCTTCTTGGTGCCTGAAGAGTAGGTTGACTTTTTCCACTGATGATTCTGTTTTTAAATCATGCAGGCAAATACACCTGTCCATATTAAAAAGAGTTTAAAGCCTCATGAACACACTAAAAATATAGTGGAGCAGGTTACCACAATTAGCATAAAGCATAGTTAAGCTAATGCCATAGTTATGTTTCCATGCCTGAAACACAAGCCTGTTCACAGGCCTTGACAACAGTGACCACAAGTGGTTGAATAGAGGACAAAGAGAGAAGTAAAAAAATATTTATTGGACAAACATGTTAGCCTCACAGACTTTCTCAGACGCAAACCTGTGATAACATAATACATATCTCTCAAACATACATTAATTCATGCCTGTCAACAATCAGACTACAACACTCATTACCCAATATCAACACACACACACACACACGCACACACACACACACACACGCACCTTCCCATCTCCAAACACGATGCACATTATTTCTTTTAGTGGCTGGGTCGGAAGGGAAACGGCATCCCCGTCATGAAAGCCTGACCGGGGTACTGAGGGTGAGAGGAGGGGTGGGTGGCGAGAGGTGTGTGTGCGGTGTGTGCAGGGTGTGTAGGGTGTGTGGGGTGTGTGGGGTGTGAGGCGATGGGGGAATGAGCTGCATGTGGGCTGAAGGCCAGTGGAGGAGTGTGGATGTTGTTGTAATACATCACTGGGCCTGACAAAACCAACTGGAGCAAACTGGAGACACAAAAACAGAAAAAAACAAGAAGAAGAGACGAAGATAAAATGTTAAGATCGAACAAAAAATGGATTTAAGTCATGTTTGTATAATATACACATCTACAATATACACATCCATAATACAAAAGGCCCATATCAGAACTACATTCATATTAAATTAGAAATGGTTTTATCAATAAGAGCTAGATGGTCTGGCTTAAATGGGAACTGCCATTTTTCTGGCTTCGAAACTGGATTACACTTCTTAAAAATGCAAACTTAGCAAAAGTAACTCCCTTTTAGTCAGCTGGGAAGTTTGTTATACCTCAGTTCAACCACTTACTGTCTTTAAACATGGCTTTGATCTCTACAAGAAGGTAATTATTTTTGCAATGTATAATTCAAGAAAAAAAATCAAGTTGCCAGTGGAAATTGTGAACTAAAGGCAATAAACACTTGGCTCTTACTTGTTGTGGGGGAGGCGGGAACAGATGGCTCTCAGATCCTCTGTAGATACAATATGAGATGTAATAAGTATTCAAACAGTGAAGAACAAGCGAAGAACAGTGAATGAGTGACTCATTTAACCATCGCTTAAATCTGAAATCTGTAACTCTTCACACGTTGCTCTGTGCTTCAAAGAAGGTGGAGATGTTGTACTGTCGATACAAAGTTATGTGGACCCTCGATATTCATATTCAAGTTTCAGTGATGCAAAATGTACTATCTAGGAAAATGTGATTCTACTAGTCTTATCCTTAATTTCTATTCATGAAAATACACAATTAGTGTGAAATGTGTAGCCTCAAGCGTATAGGTTCTGTCTCAAATTAACTTCATCTGTCGGCCAGGACAGGCATGACCTGATGAACCCTAACATATCTACACATTATGAGCATAGTCTCATACTATTACTAATTTCTTTCATAATACTCCACATAAATGGATTTATTATTGATTTGTCAAATGAAAATTGAATAATTACAGCTACAAGCTTTAAATTTATAAATATCCTCTTCGTTGTTGGAAGTGTGCTTCGTAAGCTCTCATTTCTTCTGTAGACAGCACAGTAAAGACACACAGGACAGAGATATAAAGCACACACACAGAGCTGGATTTGAATATCTGCAGTTGAAATGATTTCCAATTTCAGACCAGATACTGACGCTACTAAGATCTAAGATTTTGGAGTTTAACTATAACCTGGTAAAAGTTCTGCTCACAAAGTAACTCATTTACTCATTTGTCAGTAAATGACTAAACTCTCCCAGTCTTCCTCTCCTCTCTCCACATTCCAAGCTGCTACCTTTGCACCACTTTCATTTTTCCATCCTCCCTGTCCACACTCTTACCTCTCGAGCAGAGCAGGGCTCCATTGGCCATGGCCACCTGCAGGGCCTGTGCCAGCCGGTCCAGGGTCAGCTGAGACAATGCGTGTGTGTCTGTGGATGATGTGTGCGTATGTTTATCGGCCTGGTCCAACAGTCTGGAAAGGTCAGAGGTCAGCGTGGCCAAGGACTCCATCTGGAGCAGCGCCAGGCGACCGAAGAGCCCCTTCTCATTTAGTATATTTGGTAGTAGCATGAAGACCTAAATGTAGCAGGAGACGGACAATGGGTTCAATGTGTATGTTTTGTATAGTGAAAATGTATACATAATGTATACTGCACATAAATGTATCTAAGAACACACACATACCTGTAAAACACTTAGATGAAGTGCAGAGAAAAGAGGCCCTGTCTCTGGCTCATTCTCAGCGCTGCCATTGGTCAGCGCCGGCTTCTTGTCTCTCCTGTAGGCCAGCGGTGCTTTGACGCACCAACGCATCAACCCTCCTAATGGTGTGACATCAAGTGAGCTGATTGGCTGGCTGCCAGAGAGGGGTGTATTCAGGAAGGTGATTAGGACCAGACGAGGGTCATCTTGGATCCACGACACAATCATCTGGAGGAGTTCTAGTGGAGGGGTGAGCTCCTCTACACACACACACACACACACACACACACACACACACACACACACACACACACACACAAACAAAAGTCAAAATGACAAAACGGATGCAAGAAATTATGAGATTACATTTGGAATACTTGTATTTTTAGCATGTTAAAAAGAACATGTTGACAATGCATTGCCTCTGCCCACATTAAATGTTCTACAGGTCAAATCCATTTTCTGGAGGTCCCAGTTTGTAGATGTTCTTGTACTTGTGTGTTATCCCGCCAAAGTACCTGTGGTGAGGTCATAGAGGGTGGTGACGGCAGTAATGAACTGGCAGCAAAAGCGCGGGCTGGCGCTGTGGATGTTCTGAAGGGTGGGTACTGAGCCTGGGACCATACTACAGTAGTCGTCTACCAGCACCTGCGCCAGGCGTACGCAGTACACACGGTGGGTTCTCTGCAGGACAGAAACACAACCTGAGGCTTATGTTCACAACATCCACATTCAGTACACATACATCCAAACCACACAGGGAAGTGAATGGAATAGAAATATTGAAAAACACACAAAACACACACTTAAATGCACATTTATTTGAAGTATGTGTGTTTAAATTCTCACCTGTAGCCACGTAGCAGCACATTCCAAGATCGGAATCCGGCCAACAGCAATTGCCATGGAGACCAACTTGCCTAACAGTCCCATGCGGCTCTCATCTGCCTGGTTGCCTTGGAGACTGAAGAGGGCGGAGAACATAAGTTGACGGACGGTGTCGCGACTCTGCTCCTGAAAACAGCTGCACATGATCTCCAACAGCTGTAGCTCCTGGAGAGCACTCATTCTCTGAAGGAAAAAAACACAGGCACAATTTATATTTGTGTGTCTATGTGTATTTGTGCACAGGCATGTCAGGGTCATGTCTTACCCTGCCAGGGGTGTTTCTGTCCTTGGGTGCATGCAGAATGAACTCCTCGACCAGCTCCAAGGTTTTAGAGTCGACCTGAGGAGGCTGCCTCCCAGACTGCACCAGGTTACAGATGTAGATGTCCAGGTGGTACAGCAGCTCCTTGGCTGCACTCAGTACATCCCGAGGCAGCAATGACTGACGAATGTCACCCATGACCACCTTTCAGAGACCCATACAAAATTTGACATGGTAAATCTTCATTACAAGTTAAGTGCATTATTGAGAGGTCTAAAGTGACTTGTCATCCAGTAAATGATTATACAACTGTAATTAATGATATTATTGTGATTTTTTAACATTCAGATTGTATGACATGTTGCAGACTTAAATTTACTAAATCTTGAAATAATTTGTAGGAGATGTTTCTTATATGCTTCAGAGAAAAACAACAATAAACAAAATACATCTAGCTACAGCACAACAATGCACTGATCGTCAGCCTATGTTGGACTGAAGAGGATAAACAACTGTACAATGTGTAAAGATAAAAGAAGGGTAATTTCAAACTGATGTTTAACATCACATTTGTATACATCAGCGTTACAAATTGTAAGATCTCAGCTATAACTCAACATTATTCAAGTGGACCCCAAGCTCCACAGTGTGTCGGTCCCCTCCATCCTGCTACAGCTAGTGTTAGCAAGGTTAGCTAAAAAAGACTGTTTTCTATTCCGCAACAAATCTCGCGTTGCTTAATGATCGTAGGAGCCTTCTCAAAAGAAAACACGTATTTAGTTGAGCACTTACCTCAGCAAAAAGCTCTTAATCTACTCAATAAATTAGCCGACAATGAGACTAGTGAGTGGTCTCAAAGCGACGGCGGAACCACTTCCTGTGCCTACAGAAGCCTGCATGGGACAAAATACTGTTGGCTATTCAGCCGAGTCGGTGCATGTGGTGGCCAACAAATGTCAACAAAGACTGTTATAGTGTTATATAGGCGACACTTTAAATGACAAAAGTAACTTTAAGTAACTAAGTTATTTACATAGGATAAAACCTTAGTTTTTTCAAAATTAAAAACGTATTTAATATTATCTAACATAGAATAAAAGGAAATAGGCTATACATTAAAGGCCTGTCTGTCAAAACTATAACATTTATTTTATCCCACACAAAAATACAGAGTAAAAACTATTGTTTGCTCTTCTTTATATTCTTTATATGCCTACATTTACATTGCGATTATTGATCATCACTATTTACCATACCTGTTTTTAACCAGCGGTTAAAACCACTGGTTAAAAACAGGTGTTACTTTACTACTACTTTACTCTACTACTACTACTACTACTTTATATTTCGTTTTCTACCTTATAGCCTATATTTTTGAAATTTTAGTTGCCTTTTTCAATGGGCTTATAAATCACTGATGGTCCACAAAGACTTCCAGGCAAATTGTTGTTTTCGCCTCTGTACACAAACCATATATCATATTGAAAATCACACTGTAATCCTCTCTAATCTACACAGGGGCGCGCCCGCCAGGCACCGGACCGCCTGATGGAAGAAAAAAAAAACGCAACAGTGGTGGTGCACTCTCTGCCGCGCGCTCCCGGCAGCACTTCGGTCTTGCACTTTCCTGTCCCGTCGAGTGATCCAAGCAGCCTGCAAGATGACCATCAACACCCTGGCTAAAGGAGGCTGGCACCGGGAGCAAATGACATGCTTTCGAAAGGTTAGAGTGTGTGGTTCTGTCTATTTTAGTTAGTTTTTATAATGTGATATATTACAGTAGATGTGTCCTTGTGTGAATCCGAAAACGTGCAGTACGTTTAAACGTGTACCAGCATGAAAACAAGTTATGAAAGGATGGAACATTTAATATATGCATTGTTTTCCTATGTGCATGTTCATGTTTATGCATCTGTGCTTGTGTGCGTGCGTGTGTGTGTGTGTGTGTGTGTGTGTGTGTGTTCCCTTGGCAGATGGAGAAGGTGATTGTGGCCATGCAGGACCCTGACATGGGCATGAAGATGAGAAACCAGAGGCTCCTTATCACTGTCATTCCTCATGCCATGACAGGTGTGTGTGTGTGTGTGTGTGTGTATGTGTGTATGTGTGTGTGTGTGTGTGTGTGTGTGTGTGTGTGTGTGTGTGTGTGTGTCCCTTTATGTCAGTGTGCATCAGCATCTGTGTGTGCGTGTGTGGACATGCACATTGCAGCTTGTGTTTGTCCCGGTGGTCATGCATAATGCAGCAGTGTATTTTGGAGAAATACGGTGTGCTTTGCAGAGTAGAGGGGGAAAGTTTGTCCTCTTTTCTTATCTCTTTTCTCTCTGTTCCTTGTTTGCAGGTCGAGATGTAATTGACTGGTTGATCCAGAAATATTGTATCTGTGAGGAGGGTAAGTAACTGTATTGATGCCTATGTTGTGTGTGTGATGAAGGATCTGCTGTGATTGTCTGGTTCAGTCTGTCTGGCTTGTTGTGTGTCGTTGCCAATGTGTTGCCAGGATATGGTGTTTTCTCTCAAGCTGACGTGATAGTGATGTGTGTGTATGTGTGTGTATGTGTGTATCGTGGCAGTAGCTGTTTCCAGTAAACAGGAATGAGGTGAACCCCAGAGGATCCAAGTTTGATTAACTCACCTGATGATCTGGGTTTGAATAATGTCCCTGTGGATGGTTTCACCTCAGGAGAAAAGAGGAAAGAGGGGAGTCAGTCAGCAAAAGAGAGAGCTGATTAAAATGCAATGCACAGCCTTTTTTTGGTTGCTGTCACTCACAAAAGTGGGGCTTTTTAACAAATGAGCAAGGACTGAAGATTGATGATGCATTTCATCACTGGAACAAAGCCTTCATTGGAGAGAGATTGCTGACAGTGTGCTGGGGTGTGACAGAAAATGTATGACAAATTACACCAACAGCATTTTATATAATAATTTTGTACCTTATGGTTGATTTATAGTGTTTATTTCCAGTTTATCACGTGCCACCAAACATGATACAGGGATTAATAAAAATCAAAGGAAAATGTTATATTTTCTAACTTAATATAATGTCATGTCATTTCCCCATAAATGATTATGTCTTTGAATATACCTGAAAAGGATTTATACCTTGAAATGTGTGTAAGCTTGACTAAAAACTCAGTGAACTACTGTAAGTTTACAGTACTGACCAAAAGTAACCAAAACTGGTTTGGAACTTCTTCTTCTGTGGTGTTTAACAGAGGCTCTGCACCTTGCTGGCATGCTGGTGAGATACGGGTACATCTATCCCCTCAAGGAGCCGAGATCTCTTGTGTTACGAGCTGATGAGTCGCCCTACCGCTTCCAGGTCAGGTGATCATCCTGTTCTTTCTCCCTGCTTGTAAAAAACCCGCCCTCCCTCCGTCTACCTTTGGCTAAACTGTCACCTTCTCTATATCCCTGTCTATCTCCATTTCTCCCTCTCTCTCCATTAGCCCACTTCCTAATCCCCCCATCCATCTGCCACTCTCTGCTGCCACTTCACATCACCCGCTTCCACATCAGTCTGTATCAGACATTTTTAAAATGTCACTTGTTTTTCTCAGACTCCCTACTTCTGGACTAGTACCAGATGGCCTGCCTCAGAACTGGACTATGGTAAGACCAAAATAAACTGAAGGGGAGGGGGGATGGAAATGCGTACCCTCTTAAGCTCTATATGTTATGTATCCACTTGTGAGGGAAAACCTTACAACAAAACAACACACAACAAAATGTGAGGCAACCCATAATTTTAAGCAGGAAATCTTACACTTGAAATATAACCTCTTCTTGTAGTCCTGATGAGTATTTACACGTACTTTAAGCAAAACAGATGATGTACATCAGGGCACTAATCTCTTAACCTCTGTTTTCTTCCTTTGCTGCTTTTGTTTTACCCCTTATTTCCCATCAGCAATCTATTTGGCTAAAAAGAACATAAGAAAACAAGGAGAACTGATGGAATATGAAAAGGTGAGGAAAGTTTGTGTGTGTGCGTGTGTGTCTGTGTAAAGAAAAGAGAACATGTGTGTATTATGAAATATGCAGTACTGAGTGTGTGGAAACAGGCCCATGTCATCATTCCTCTTCCTTTTTAGGAGAGGTACAGTGTCTTGCACAAGAGGATCAACCACACCTGGGACTTTGTGGTGATGCAAGCAAGAGAGCAACTTAGGTACATTGAGATGTACACACACACACACACACACACACACACACACACACAGTCTCCCAAACACACACACACAAACTTACTGTGTGATTTATGTTCAGAGCATCCAAACAGAGGCGGAAGGCAGACCGCATTGTCCTAGAATGTCAGGAGCAGGCTTACTGGCTCATCAACAGACCCCCGGTACGTTCACTGCACTACTCTACTGTACTCTACTCTATTCTACTCTACTATAATACTTCTATACCATAATGTACAATTCTTTCCTACACTATACTCCAATATTCTATACTATACTATACTATACTATTCTATTCTACACAATTCTATACTATACTATTATATTCTATACTATTCAATACTATGCTATACTATACTATTTTATACTACACTATAGTATTCTATACTATACTATTCTATTCTATACTATCAGTTATATAACACTATACAACTAAAAAAGTGAAAAGTGTATGACATATAAAACAGTCCCACTAATGTTCACCCACAGTCCCTTTTGCCTCCTGCATGAAATATTCAACCCATCTGGTGAAAGCCTCAGCTGACAACAGGGGAGAGAGAGAGAGAGAGAGAAAGGGAGGGAGAGATAGAGATCAAGAAATGCTGAGAGAAAGAAAATCATCACACTTTCTTTATGTGTTAACTAAACATCACAGCAGCGGCTCAGCTGGTTCTTAAACAGACACAGACAGAGAGAGAGAAGGGAAGGGAAAAGGCTGGGGGGTGGGAGCAGGAGGCAAGGAATGATGGGATAGAGTGTAGAGGTACTGTGCGTCAGAGAAGGGTGAAGCAAGGGACAAGGGTTTGGAGGAGGGACTCCATCTTGTCTTGCCCTTATGAATTAGGGACGAGGGCATGGAGAAAAAGAAAGACAAACCGGGGAATAAAAGTCAGAGCTAGTGGAGTGGAAAGCTCAAGGAAGGATAAGTGCTCACTCACACGCATCTTCTCATCAGAGATAACACACACACACACACACACACACACACACACACACACACACACACACACACACACACACACACACAGACAATATGACAAACATATTATACTTAGTTATTAGTGTATTGGAGTGCATTTATTTATATTCTTTTTTCAGACTGGGGCACATAATGTATTGGAAATGGGTCTAGAGAGACCAAATAACTTCAGCTCACGAGTTACGCTGGTCAGTGACATCATCACATTTCGATACTTCCTGTTTTATATTCCCCTCTGAAATATTGAATGTGATAACACGCCAACTATCTATCTCTTTTCATCTTCTTTTATTGCTTTCCTTCTTTCTTCCTGTTGGGATTATTTCAAAGTAAGTGTCCAAGTGAGCTGCACTATACTATGGACGGTTACAATATATTACAGTCTTTTTATAATTATATGATGACTATATCATATTATGTGATGATTATATGATGACTCGTTGTTTCTCTTACAGAACTAGAACAGTGACTACTACAAAAGAGAGGTAAACATCATATATAATTCATATACCATCACTTTAAATACACTGAGTCTATATTCTAGCTCACTTTGTGTGTGTGTGTGTGTGTGTGTGTGTGTGTGTATGTTTGTACGTGTGCGTTCTGTCTTTGTTCACAGATTGAATCGTCTAGAAGGGCCCTCGGAAGAAACCGTGTAAAGTCATCCATCTGCCTAGAAGGGTGCGTGTCAATGAACACACATATGCAGACACACACATGCGCATGTACGGATACACATATGGACTAATTGACGTGACGTTACCCGGACCGAACTTTACGTCTGTAGCGCACACTCACACATAAGGCTTACTGCCACTAATGGATGCTTCCTGAGGCAAGTTGGAATTAGTGGCCATTAAGTCTTATGATCTGCTGCACTAATACAATAATACTGTGTGTGTGTGTGTGTGTGTGTGTGCGTGCCTCTGCATTTGTGTGTGAATCTGCAGGTTTGTGAAATACAGCGAGCAGTACCAGAACCACGATCCCATTATGCAAGGCTGCCTTCCCAGTAACCCCTGGATCTCCGATGACACCGCACACTGGACAATGAACACAGACATGTGAGAGAACACACACAGATACACACACGTTATAATCATAAATCCAAACTCCAGTCCAAGTCCACACACTTAATCTAGTTTTGCTGGTTTCAGCTTTTGTTGTATCTCTGAACATATCCGTTCATATTTAAGTTCAAAATTAAAGCACTAGTTTCTGTTATGAACGCTAGAGCGACTGGATCTAGTTTTTTAAAAAAAAAATGTTTTCCCTGTTTGGGTGTTTCTGTGAGCAGAGTGCCTACCCCGACACGTCTTCGAGTGGAGCGTTGGAGTTTCAGCTTCATGGAGCTTCTGAATGACTCCATTGGGAGGCGGGAGTTCATGACCTACCTGGAGAAAGAGTTTAGTGGTGAGGTGGAGTGACAGAAGTCTTGGATTGTATTCAAATTACGATGAATAATTTACACGTACAATGACATTAATATTCCACAGCACTGTCATATGCTTGTGTGTGCGCATGTGTCCTGAATCCTGATGGTTGTTGTCTCAAGTCTGATATGATAAGAATGAATTTCTTAAAAACATCAGGTGATGAGGTTTGAAGATCAGAACAGAACCAACCTGACTTGGTGTGAGGAATATCTTGTATTTCTTTCTATTTTCTACCTTCTTAGTGAATCGTGGTATAAATTGTCAACGGAGCGTTGCAAACTGAATAATTATTCAAATGCAGAAGCTTATTACAATAACAAACAGAGAAAAATAAATGTAATTGTTATTCATATTAACCTTTACTTGCTTCTCGCTCTTATTAGCATTCAGAATTTCATTATCTTCCCTAATGACATTTTCCAGTCCCAGTGGTGAGAGGTGAGGTGAGGTGAATGGAAAAGAAGATTCATTTCATGACATGGTTGGTGGGAAAATGGAAAGATTAGATTGGGAGGGTAGAGAAGAGAGAGGTAAGACAGACTTCAGACAGGAGAGGGATTTGTTCACTCTTGCAGAGATACTGCACTGTAAGAACTATTGCCAGGGGCCAAGGTTTTTCCACAGAGGCCGTCCGTGCTATAAAAAAGTCTTGTTGTGTTTCACTTTTTCCTGCATCACTGTTGTTGTATTATTCATCTCCATCCATACCCAACACCTCCCTGCCTGTCTCTCTGCTCTCAGCGGAGAACCTATGTTTCTGGCAGGCCTGCGAGGAAGTTAGACATGGAGAAAGTTCCAAGATCATAGAGAAAGTGGAAGAGATCTACAAGTAAGTGTACGAGCACATGGACATGCAGAAATACACGCTGACATTTACTGTCAGGTGACAGCCACTCTTTTGTGTCTGATTCAGAAACTTCCTGGCTCCTGGAGCTGCCCGCTGGGTCAACATCGACAGTAAGACCATGGATAAAACCCTAGAGGGGATCAAACACCCACATCGTTTTGTTATGGATGACGCACAAATGCACATCTACTTCCTCATGAAAAAGGTCTGACCTCTGACTCTTTGATACATGACACTTACCTTTTATGCTATAGCACTGTCAATGACTTGGCTTAAAGGACCATAGAAGTGGTTTTGCACATACTCTACGTCATGGTTAATCAACTTGTTGTAAAGTAATGCAGTGCAGACTTCAAATCAATCTGCACTTTTAATATGTAACCATGCAACGATATTCTAACATTGGCAAAAACTTTCAGCTTTCCACATTTTCCAGGAAGTTGCTATAGACAAAATAACAACCACCAATATAACATTATACTATTTATTTACTCTATATATTGTATTTTTTTGATCACAAGAATTTCTGTTTTGAGTTGCAGGATGTTATGGGACACAGAATTGTTTATGTCTGTGATGACTTTACCATTATTTAACAGGGTTTATGTTTCCAGGGGACAAGGATAGGTATAAGTGTGTGTCATTAGTGTATTATGTGGATTATGTGGTCTAGTAGCAACATATACAAACTGAGGCAGCTTTTAAAGGAGCTATTTTGTAAGTTAGCATTAGCACTGACAGCTTGTTCCTTACCTGTCTGGAAGAAACGTTGCATCAGCATCAGACTTTATTCTTTTATTCCCCAAGAGCTGCCTCCAGGGGTGAAAGGCAATGGTAATTTTAACTTGTCCTTTCTTCTACTGAAGTTAGCAAGCTAACCAGGTAGCCCCGGCCCGTCTCGTCACTTTCCGATAGCGACTCACTGTAGCCTCAAATCTCCAAAAGGGGGGAACTATAGCTTCTTGTCTTGTAAATGCAATGATGGCGGAAGCTGTTGTCAATCACCACCACCGGCTCCTGGCAAGAAACCACAGAGAAAACTTAGAAAATTGCTCCTTTAAAGTTAGCAGACAATTTTTGGATTGGTGCTACTGTTGTGTAAAGCCAGTGTATTTTGTGTGTGTGTCTATGTGTGTGTTTAGGACTCCTACCCGAGATATCTTAAGTCTGACCTATACAAGAACATGCTGGCCAAAGCTATTCTCCCCCAGGAGACTAAAAAGAGGTGCGGTTTAGATATATTAGAACCTTATTCTCCTTTTACTTTAAAACAATCATTTATTCTCTACCATCACATTTTTTCTTTCTTCCTCCCTTTCCTCTTCAGTGTGTTCCCCTTCATGAGACGCCAGCGGCACTCTAGCCCCTCCCCCGCTCAGGCTGCCACCCAGTTGACGGAGGAAGATGAGCGCGCCAAGGGGGCCGGGCAAGCAGGTACCAACTCTGCAGCCGGCTCCCATGTCTGATGCCGGGGCCAAAAAAACGTGTCAGACTCAATCACCTCAGTCTCCAATGTCTCAGTTGGTCACCATAGTAACCACCCGAGTAGTTCTCTCTGCTTATTGTCTCATCTCAAAGTGAGTTGAAGCCACAGCTTTTCTTTCACTTGCTGCAACATTGCCAGGACTAGGATTTCAACACAGAGCTTCCTCTCAGAGCACAGGTGTTAATGCATACCTCAGCAGCTCCACATCTTATTCCCAGCGCACAAGCGATGGACAGCAGACAAGAGCTTTTAGTGCTACTGTTACAGCCGTTACTGCTCCATATTCACCCTGCATCTACTTTGCATCCCATCTCGGTCCAAAAAGCCTGCCCCGCTGTTTTTGATATTCACTCCTAATACCAAGTCTTCCTTTCTCCTTGAGTAGCTTTTATATAGAATCTATTTCTGTCTCTTACAAGCAGTTTTAGGTAAAGAGGTTGTTTATAGAGAATAGAAGATGTAAAATAATTATTTAGTCAGAAATTTGCCTCGGCATGTCTGTGATTATCGTACAGTTTACTTGTTTTCTTCATTCCATGCTGGAGCTTCACATTGTGATTGTTGTTGCTGTTAATTTTGCTCAAGCATGTTTTCATCCCAATAAAAAGTCACAACAGCATTCAGTGTTGTGTTGTGCTCTCAGCTCAGCATGCTGTAGAAAAGTGTGTGTGTGTGTGTGTGGATATGTGATTTGGCTTTTATTTTTAAATCTACTTCCTTCTTTTCTCCTGAATTATCTTTCGTTCACACGTCCTTCTGTTCATTTGAAGGCTCTTCTGTACATCACCGTGGGTATGGTTCGTTTTAGGATATACTGACTGTGGCATGAACTGCTACAGAGTTTAGGCAGTCACCTGATAAAAGGTTAACCAAATACAGTTTTAATTACTGAAATCTTAATTGTAATGATTGTGGACTCTTCTCATAGCTACTTCCAGGAGCTTCAAAGCCAGCAGTCATTACTCCAGTGTTTCCTACAGCGCCATCCGTCTGCACATGCTGCTTTTTCTCTTCCATGACTGCGTCTGAACTTCTTTTTACATCTTTCCTCTTCATCTAATAACCTTTCAGCGTTTACTTCCCTACCATCTTCCCTCTATTGGTCCTGTGGGAGCTGCAGTTTCCTCTACTGGACTGGCTCCCTCTAGTGCCTACATGTGGTCAAAGTTTATACTTGCTGTAAATTGGTGGTTCCTAAAAACAATGAATGAATGACTATCTTTCATCACACCTGAGTGTGAACTTGAGTTGTGAGCAGTTCAACCAAAGAGTGAGGTTTACTTCTTAGACTGTCAGGGGGCTGAAGAGCTGAAAGTATCCAGTATTTCAAAAGAAAAATAGCAAAAAATGAAAGAAAACTGGGAGAACATAAACATGATTTTGTGCAGGAGATTTTTGAAAACCGTCAGATTTATCGTGGGACCCCCTTTAGAAGCCCTGAGCCTCAGGTTGGGAACCATGGCTGTAAATACAGCACGTAAATTCGAGATCCACACAAATAATTTTCACTTATGTAGAAATCATGACAACACGGCTTTAGACTACCGCTATGCAAAGTCACCTTTTAGGTGACATTTCAGGTTAAAGGGGCACTCTACCAATTTTACACATGGCTGTCAGTTGACTCGTCATGAGGAACACGACTCAGCCTGTGAAAACACTCGTCTTCTGTTGCTTTGAAGGAAGCTTCCTAAGGTATGAGAAAATAACCCTGGTGATGTCATCAGGGTTATCTAGAGTTAGACTTGATATTAAAATGTATTTGAAATGTTTGACAGAAAACCTGCGTTACAAGCTGGCAGTGCAGAGCTTTATAGATGGAGACAAAGAAGATCAATGAAAGATGTTACCGAGTTATGGGAAGTGTAGGATTCAGTGTTTTTGAAACTAAACTCAAAATCTCCGTCTCTGCTGCTTTGACAGTTCCTTTTTCAATCTGTCTCGAGTACATTATTAAATTGCTGGTGCCCCCATTAAAGACAAAAACAAGACTTTAAGGACTTTACACACCTTTTAGTCTGGTCACATGCAGGCTGCACCAAAACACTGAGCAGTGAGGCTTGATGATGAAGTGGTCTGTCAGCTTTGTGGGTCCATTAAATTTACTAATGGAGGTAAGCTATATATGGGAACACACACACACACACACACACACATACACATACAGAGAGAGCGAGAGAGAGAAATGTGTATTTCAACTCAGGCACTTTCAACATTTCTGAGGATTATGATAATCTGCTTCCCTTTATTCCCCAATCCACTCTCAGTGCATGAGAGTATGTGCGCCTGAGGAGAGAAAAACAGTACGAGACTCGAGCAATGAAAAAATCCTGAGGCATTTCTCTTTATATAAAAGATTTATTTTTGGTAGGCTAAATGCTGTTTGGATTTTTAACTGATTGAAAAGTAATTGTCCAGTACAAGGAAGTAAAATCATATTTTACATCGAGCATTACATTGCTTCATCCTTACACGCTATGAGAGCTATAGTATGTTTAGGTGGTAGACTGCCTTTTCATAGTCCTGCTTAAATATGACAACAAAATTAAATTATTTACACCCTCACACACACGAGAAAAACAATGTTTCGAACCATGAGAGGAAGGCTATACAAGCGTGACAGTCAAACGTTTAAACGTTCGACTTGAAACATGTGCAAAGTCACAATGGAGGAAATCATCACAGTGAAAATGGACAAAACATAAACTGCGTCTTAGATCAAATTAAGTATGGAAAGTATGTAAGAGAGGAAACACACACATTCTCATACAGTACATACAGGAGGCACTGGACACAGTAATCTGACTATACATTCAGCAAGTGCCCATTCATACACATATGGGCTATGTACATTACATAGTGGAATTAACTTTCTTATCATAAAAGTGCTTCAGACTGAATGCTGGTACAAAGTAAGATTAAGGTTTTAGAGGGAGAGAAGAAGAAACAGACAGGATCACAACACAGCAGAGAGACACAAGACAGGACACCGTCATGCAGTCTCAACACAAGCTGCATGTAGGTCTGTGAATGAACATAACCTCAAACATGGAGGAAAACTGAGCAGCTGATGGAAACATCAAGGGAAGGCATCATTAATGGGGTTGATTAGACTTTGGCAAAAGAACAGTTTACTCGTTTTAAATGGTTCCTATTAAATATTTTACTCGCTGTCTTGCAATGATGTAGTCTGAAGATAAAAAGCTAATGGATGAAGACCACATGATATGATTTGAAAGCTCTGGGAAAAGCTAGTAGGTGGATCTGGAGTTGAGACGGTTTTGTCAAACTATTTTAAAAGACTTGAGGAGGATACAAGAGTGAGGAGCGTTTACATCAACTATAAATATAGCATATTCTATCAGTAGAGTGAGTGATAGACTGAGTAGAAAAGATTTAAATAGTCCACAAAGTGCTATTCCTTATAAATATTTTTGAACATTCATTTCCTAGCCTAGTAACTTATGTACATACACAATATGTACAAACTACTGGTCATGAGGTCAAAGGTCAGGTGGTCTGCTACCTGAAGGTTTTGATGTTTATACCTAAGCTGGTGCAAAGGACCACCTTGGAGGTTTCAGCAGGTTCGATTTGGGTTAAATGGGAGTGAGTGTGTGTGCGTGCGTGTGTGTGTGTGTGTGTGTGTGTGTGCGTGTGTGCGCGCATGTGTGTGTGTGTGTATTTTAGGATGTCCACAAGTTTATTTCATTGACGACTTTTGGAGATCTTTTTAATCCAAATATAAGAACAGTTTCACGCCTGAAGTGAATGTGAATATGAAAACTGTAGACCTATGAGAATATAGGTCTATATTTGATTTTAAAATGTGTTACTCAACATATTAAGAAACTTCAAAGAGTCAGAGTCTGAAAGACCAAGTAAAATGTTGTCAACACCTTGTGTGTGCAGTGCTTATACTGTCTAACAATCAATACCAAGTCACTTTGCTTCCTTACACCATCTCTTATCCCACTACGTGACAGTGTAAAGTTCATCCTTGCCGCTCTCACAGAGAGTGTACCCACAAACCCGGGGTCTCCAGCTCAGGCTCCACTTCCAGCCCCTGCTCCAGCCCAGCGCCTCCCTGTCCTTCTCCTTTGGCGGCAGCAGGAACACCACGCAGGTGGCCACCAGGACATGCCACAGCGAGTGTATGTAGTAGTAGTTGTCCTCTGTCTCTGCAAAAATGTACAAGCATACCCCGATCAGAGCACAGAGTGCCCCGGGCATCAGGTACAAGACCCAGCGCTTCCAAGAAGGTGGGTAACAATGTCGACGCCGCACCCCTCGATATACCTGTCGATAAAAGAGAACCAGATCAACCTCAGCCACAACAAGAGGATACTTTTATCATCACCATCTTATTTACTACATGTACATCTTTATCTACACAGAAATCAGCAACAGATTCTTTGTCACACAGCGTTGTACAGTCGTATCTTACCCATGTAGCGACCATGATCAGCAGCGCACAGAGGATGGGGCCCAGCAGGTTCCACAGGCCTTTGCGGTCCAGTTGCATTGACATGGCAATCAGCAGAGCCCCGAGGATAAACAGAGTCTACACACACAAACACAAAATCAAACTCAATCTTAGTGCTTTAAGTATCATATTAATCAGAATAATTAAGTAGTGTGATAGAATTATGGAGAAAATCGGCAGTAGTCTGTGTCTTACATATTTGAACGTGTCTCTGATGCGAGCCATGCACAGGATGGTGACCCAGATGGAACAGACAGACCCCAGGAAGTCACAGTACTGCAGGGTGTCGTAGTCCATTATACACAGTACGGCCACACCCGGCTGGTCACATGCATGGTAGAACTAGGAATACAAAGAAAAAAAAAACATGGAAGGTAAATCAAGTAATAAGCTCTACCTCCCAATACACGCACATTTTCATGGTGACCAATCTGATAAATGTATAACGCAGTGGTTTGCAGTTCCATGGTCACACCACACACAGTGCTGCATGTTCTTCCCAAACAACTGAACCTTAGTAGTGTTGTGGAGAGTCAAGCTGCTCTTTGACAACATCAGGTGCACGGTGATGTCTGTCTTCTGACCATGCGCCATGATTTGCATGTGGTCGAGATGTGGCGCTCCAGCTCAATGATTCCTTTAGGCCTTTAGCTGTTACTCTGAGGCTCTTTGTTAAGTTACTGATCATTCTTCATTCATTATTATTATTATCATCATCATCATCTGATCACCTGGCAGAGGATGGACATATCAAAATGATTGATTTTGGTATTCCTACACCACATCAATATGCTATTTTGTTTCAGTCTGATCAGTGTCTCTTGAGTCCTGAGGTCACCTGGCTCAGTGAAAGTGTGATGACACAAGCGAACACTTGCTAAGCTTGAGCTCCCGACTTCCCGAAACTTCCCTCTTACATCACATTATACTGCGAGAGTAAAGTATGCTACAAACTGGAGTCAGTCTTTGTGAGAAAAATGCCTAATAATGCAAGAAGTGTTCCCACACGTATGTACGAGTGTGTGTTACCGTGGAGAAGAACATTGTAAAGAGGTAGACGGACGCCTCGGTGATGTAGCAGCGTTTGACGGCCACCACGATGGCAGGCAGGAAGAACAGGTTACTGATGGTGAGCAATAGAGAGGCCGTCAACTGGTGACTGTATGACTGTGCGGTGGAATCATCAGTGCAGCCCCAACCACTCCAGCCTACACACACACACACACACACACACACACACACACACACACACACACACACACACACACACACACACACACACACACACACACACACACACACCACGACAGAGTGTAACCCAAGTGATTGAAATGAAATAATAAAATCAGTTACAAGAAAGGATACAGTGAGGGCACTTATTATTTTAGTATAATTATAGCATCAGTTTAAGTGTAGGTGTGTGTGTGTGTGTGTGTGTGTGTGGTCGTACCAGCCTTGCAGACACAGGCACTGTACAGGTAGCTGTAGGATCTCAGTAGTCTACATTCACCATATGTCCCACAGTCCTCTACACAGGCACTGACAAACACCTCTGGGACCACAGACACCACGGACGCATTACCACAGTCACTGCTGCAAGAAACAAAGACATTTCCATTTATGGCATGAACAGATGTCATCACATATGTCTAGACTGGTTTAGAGTGTGTACGTGTGAAATTAAAACAAAAACATCTATTGCCTGTGGAGAGTACTGTTGGGAGGACACACAGCGACAGAGTGTCAGGTGGAGAAATTATTCAGAAACACATGCAAATACACAAATGCAACATGAGCGTGAGTGTGTTACCTGTTGCAGGTGAGCTGCAGGGTGAGGTACCATGTTGTTGACTGAGGGAACGGCAGCCTGACCACAGCCTTAGGAGCACTGGCATTCACATGAACACCATATCCCCCAAACAAACCTGCAGACATCATCATAATGTTGACTGATTATTTCCAGGTGTTAAAGGCAAACATTTCTAAGTGTGAATATGAATTAATCTTTGCGGTTGTCTGTGCTACCTGTGCGACAGGGCTGAGAGCGGTTGAGCTCGAGGACTGGAGCCCATTGAGTGAGACAGGCCACCACACTGCTGCTGTTCCCCAGGTTTACATTAGTCTACACACACGCACAAAACACACACACATATTACAGTAACAACAGCACAAACACACGCTGCTCTCAAATCTAATCAAAGTTCAATGAGAATACTTTGTGTGTGTGCGAGTGTGAGTGAAGTGATTCTGTGGTACTCACAGTGTTGAGTGTGAGCTGCAGGTTGAGAGTACCACCAGTGGCTTGTGTGTAAAGGGGGTAGGTGAGCAGTGTGGGGTGTGTATTGGTAACACTGACGTTGGGTCCGTTCACGGGGGTGAATCGTAGAGACAGAACGTCCACCTCCTCATAGAGCACAGGGATGCTCCACACGCACGCCGACATTGGCGTTAGCAGTGATGCTGACTCGTTAAAGGCGACTGCGTCTGTGCCCAGTGAGCTGTTGCCTGCTGATGTTGAGTTGGTGTTGCCACTGCTGTTGCCACGGAGCTTGTTAATGTCATCATCTGCTTTAAGGCCTACACTTTGTGGCTTACATCCAACTAAAGTAAACACACACAAATAAAGAACAGAAATTACAAAAATTACATTAAACAAAGATGTAATATGTGAAATTTGTGTTTGAGACGTGTGTTTCTATGGTTACCTGTGTAGTTTGAGACGATACTAAAGGTTACAGTACGGTTGTCTTGGCTGCTCTCAACAACAACTCGTAACCATGTGTCCCAAGGTGAGTTAGAGAGCGTTGCAGAGCAGCCAATCCCTGAGCAGTTCACTGTTACTGCGCCCTGCTGCAGAGAGGAGGAGCCGAGCCTGAGGACCAGCGAACAGTTTCCACTGTCGGCTCCCTCCCCTGACGAACAGTCAGCCACAGAGACGGAGAGAGAAGAGGCAAACTCTGGAACATACAACCTAAGACAGGCACAAATACATTAGCTGAACCATATATACTAATAAAAAATATACAAAAAGTACAAGCAGTGAAACCAGCAGAATATGTACACATGCACGAACAGACACTCCTTACTTAAGGCGTGCAGGTCTGTCCGGGGTTGCAGTCTGTTGGAGGACAGTGCCCTGCTGTAAAATGGGTGTGTCCACCGCTCTCCTGATTGATAGCTGAGGTTGGAAGAAATACGAGCAGGACGGAAAACCCTGACAGATAAAGAAAGACAAACAAATTTAGTGTGTGTGTGTGTGTGTGTGTGTGTGTGTGTATGTGTATGTGTATGTGTATATATATATATAAACACATATACTGCTGCAAACTTTGATCAAGAAAACTTTATATAACATTATTCATACATATGTGCAGTGTTTTACATGTGAATGTAAAACTAATAATACTAATCATTCAGATAAACAGTTAAACAATACAAAACTAATGCACACACAAAAACTGTATAGACATTTAAGATAAAATGCGAATAGACGTTTTCTTTCATGGTGACCTGGTTAGTAAATAAGCCAACGCAACAACACAGCTGCAATTCTGCACCGCGAACAGAGACCATAAGAAGAAGAATGTGGTTTAGCTACTTCACATAAGAAACAATCCTCCTGCTCCAGTAGAACAGGTTGGGGTAAAAGGGGAAATTTACAAGTAGAGCATACTTAGAATACTGACGGCTTATCTTGGCCTTTCACTGCAAAATAAAAATCTGTTTCAAATACATATGATGGACAATATGACGACGATTGTCAAACCTTTCTTCAAAATGTTTTTTTTTTTAGCAATTTTAATGAGCACAATGGGAGCAGGAAAAGAACAGACTAAGAACATCAAGCATCAACTGTACACAGCTCAATACAAACCTTCTGCTCTATGCGCCCGTCATCTTCAGGCAGGTGTGCTGCAATGTACCAATCACCAGGAGCAGGGTTGGAGAGGTTAAAGGTTGTGGAGCTGTGTGATGTTACCGGTAGGGTCAGAGACAGGCTGGGGACCCAGAGCGTTGCATTAGGAAATACTGAGCCTTTCGGATTTATAACTGGAGGGGCACCCCATCGAATGTGGCTACAAAAGAAAGAGAAGAAAATTCAGCAGAGGAACAGGTTGAACAGAAGAAAAGAATAGATTAAGAAGAGTCACCAGAGGTTGTGAAGAGAAAGACAAGGACGTCTGATTTCACTGAACAGAGAATGCAAATGATCACAGCAGAACAGACTAAAGATTTTGAAAAGCAGTGGATGACAGTGGATTTCTCTCTGATAAATAACTAATTTTCTTACATGGTGACATTGTGCTGTCCACAGTTGAAGTTGTGGCCCTTGGTGACGGAGAACAGCCAGCGAGCGATGGCGGTCTCCTCTGGTATATGAAACCTCTGCAGCCTCACGTTGCCGTACCAACCATACTTTGACAACTTCTGAGCTGGTTTGGATGACAGCTCTGATACGAACGTCACCTGTCCATCTGCAGGACAAAATGTTTTCACTGTATGACACATGGCAATTCAAATCACATGGCAATTTACTTCTTTCAGTTCCTTTTAATCAAGTTGTAATCACGTTTAATTATGTCTCTTTAACAATGTAGGGACTACACAGGTAGAAATCACTTGGGCTGCAACAAACAATTATTATTACTATCGATTATTCATCTTATTTTATTGATCGTTTTATCCATAAAACGACAATAAATAGTGAAAATGCCAGTTTCAACTTCCCACAGACCAAAGTGACGACTTCAAATGTCTCGTTTCGTCTGGATAACAGCCCAAAAACTATAAAATATTCAATTTATTATTGTGTGTGACAAAGGAAAGCATCATCATCATCAACATCATCATATTTGAGAAGCTAGAAACAGAAAATGTTTGGCATTTTTGCTTTAAAAAATGACTAAAACACTTATTTGATTCTCAAAATATTTGCTGATTAATTCTAAGTGAATGTAAACATTCTTTTAAAAAAATAATAATAAATTACACATTGAGTAAATACAACCAGGGAATTGAAAAAAGGCGGACAGCACAGCTGACAACGTTAGACAGTCGCCAAGAAGAACATGGAGCAGATGGTTAAAAGGGCTAAACTTTATCTAATGTCAAGCAAAAACAGTCAACTTTGACTAAGTTAAATAACCGATCAGCACTATTGACTGAGAAATACCGGAAAGATTCATGGAGTCACCTTCTCACCAAGCTGTCAACGTATGGCTGACTAAAAATATCTCTCTAACAATGCGCATATGAATGTGAAAGTTGTGTGAAACAATTTTACAGGGCGCAGATTATGCAATATGTATCCTCCATCATTAAACCAACAAGCCGTGAGAGTTAGCGAACATGCTAATACCTGCTCCCCCTGACTTCGCTCTTTCTGCAGGAAACACTTACCGTCTCCTAATGTCACAGCCGCCAGGACGACGAAGAGGAGACCGCGTAGAAAACAAACTTCCATGTTTCCAGTCCGACTGTTTGAACCATTACATCGTCCTTTATCCACCTGTAATGTCACACTAACCTATCGCTAATCATTTTACGCGCACAACACTTCCTGATTGATATGGGGGAATACATGACGCAAGGAAAGACGTCGGTGCTGCCTTTGCGGTCTGTCGGAAATGTTAACATCGTTAACATCGCACACATGAAACACCTGCACAACGACAATTTCACCGTCATAAACAACAGCTTTGTGGAAATAACGCAAAACTTAATACACAAAATGAATTAGGTAGAATATATTAAGCCATGGATACTGCGCATGTGTTAATTATGATGATAATATTCAAAAATACTACACAAGTTTGAGAGAAACAAACAAGGCAGCTCTGGCCCATCAGAACAGAGACCCTTTGTGTTAACCGTCATGATTAAGACTCGTTTCACCATCACTAATGTCCAACATCTAATGACTATTTAATTTTACACATGCACACACTCACTCAGCACATTTATACTTTTCTACTGTTTGGGTTGAGACACAAGCAAGAACATCAATGAAGACATTTTTGCCTTCTTTATTACCAAAAGATATAATAAGCTCATTGCATAACAATTTAAGCAGAACAACAGCATCATCTTGAATCCTCACTATATCTCGTTGTGTCATAGTATCCATATGAACTTAAAGCGTGAAAGATTTCATCAAGACTGGACAATATATGAGAGAGAAAGTATCTGAAATAATTAACTACTGTACTTGTCTTATCAATAATTGCATTTTTTCATACAATAAAAGGAAGAAGTTCTTAATCCTGTATATGTCATACTAATAATTAAATCCCCAGTGTCTAGAACATTTTTCAGCCAAGAATGGAGGTTTCTATCATTTCTTTAAAAAAAAAAAGGAAAAAAAGCCATAATATTCATAATTTCATTACATTTTTTTGTATTTTTTGTGGTTTGAAACTCCTAAAATACACATCGATAATGAAAAACACAAACAGTGTATACAAAACCACTGACAGAGTGAGTCTAAAAGTGACATATTCGTCGTTAAGCATCATCATTCTTATTCTAACAGGATACACTGAGTATCAAAGTGCATTTTAAATCCCACTGCATTGCTGTCAGTTACATTAACTGTTGAGGTGTAGCAGCTTACAGAAATCATAAAAACGTCACATCATCCTGTGACTCCACCCAGCACCACTGAGCATCGTACCCCAACAACAACTTCTCGCCATCAGGTGGACTGCTTTCCTCTTCCATCATCTTGTTCTGAGAGGCTTTGAAACTCTCCTGAGGCAGACTGTCTTCTGTCTGTGTCTCCCCGGACTCTTGGGCGAGGGTAAAACTACCAGTATCCACTTTATTTCTTGGCCTGTTAGATCTGAGCAGAGCTCTTCTGATGGTGCCAGCTTTCATATCTTCAAATGGACCCGTGTCCAAGTCCTGCGGTTGTGACTTTTGTAAACTGGCACCAACCGAGCCATTGGCAGGATTAGACGATGCCAGACTATGCCTGCCATGTGTGGAACCACTGACTTCAGAGTTGAAGTTGGAAGGACTGTGAGGTCTCGCTTCAGTAGACTCGGGGCTCAGCACGTCAAAGTAGCTCTTGTGGTCTGAATCACCATCATCAGTGTGGGGGCAGGTTGGACTGGGGCTTTCCCTATGGGGGCAACACTAGAAACATTGAGCCACATGTGGAGTAGAGTATGAGCCCTAAAACCAAAAAAGGCGTTAAAGCTTCATCCAGCATGATTCAGCTTAAAGCTTTTCTGGGTTTTTGTTTTAAATTCATAATCACAGGTTAACAAACAAAATTCACTAATTTACTATTATGGAAACTCAGTCTTTTGGTTTCAGCTTTGAGAGGATGCTGCGTCAGCTAATTGTGCTGAATGCACACAACTACACTTCATGGAAATCTAGCAAAATGTGGGACTTGTAAATAGAGGTATAAGCTTTCACTCTGACATGTGACAGGAAACCCTCCCCTAAAATCTGGAAACATTTACTTTGTGGACATTTGAATAGATGTTTGGAAAGCTCACATTCAAGGGTTTCACTTGACTGCTGGTTTATGTTTTACTTACATGAGTTTGTATGATATTCGAGGAAAAGTACACATTTTTCATATCCTGAAAATTCACAGTCATACATAGTTCAGAAAACCAAATGTCAAAAATGGTGACTCTTGGTATGAGATGAAACTGTGTTGGTTAAGTTTACAGTGAATTTGATGTTTATGGGTCTCTTATCTGGACATATATGCAGCTTTTCAACGAGAACAGGTTCCTGTGCACCTGACAGACTAACATCTCTTACCTGCAGGGGGTCCCTGAGGGCCCCTCCTCCACAGTGACCAGGCTGCTTAGGCTGCCTGTCAAGCTGCTGCCTCGACTGACTAAGGCTCCCCGCTCCTCCATCAGCCAACGCATGGCCTCGATACCCTCGTGCACGGCCACCAGCTGACGCAGAATCCTTACATCTGCAGAACGTAGCCACCTCTGCATGGACAGCGTGGAGAATTACAGAACACAGGTGTGCACGGTATTCACCTGTGGGCCTGAACTAAGATGCAAGTTTGGGCTTTTACTGAATCACCTACCCCCCCTCATGCATGCGGATCTTTTGGCTTGAGGGTCCCCTTGTAAGAACACACTTGACCCCCCACCGACCCAGCCCCTTGCTTGTGTGTGTTCATTTGAGTGCAATATATGAAAGAAAGACGTGAGAGGAATGAGGGAGGAGCAAAGGGAGAATGAGCAGAGGAATCCAGTCCAGGACCAGAATGTGTAGAGTGAAAGGAGGTGAATGAGAGGTGAGAGGTGTGGTGGGGGTGCAGGTGACAGCGCCTGTCATTAGGAATAAAAAATGAGCAGGTGAAGTGGCTCACACTTTTTGACGTTTCTCGAAACCACTGTTTCAGCAGTGGTTGCTGAAACAAGACGCACAGGTTCATGCAGAATAAAATCAATGCTGAGTCACTACAAAACACAAGGGAAACTGTTTTGCCCACTTGGAGGCATGAATAAACACTCACTGTTTCACAGGAGAAATGAACTGCTGAGAAAACAGTAGAAATCTTTACCATCTCTTGTTTTAAGCTGCTGATCTTGTCAGAAAAGCCACCGCTGAGTTCGGAGCTGTGGTCTCCGTTGTCGACCACATCAGACCTCCAGCCGTCTCCGCAGTCCGCAGCATCCCTCATCCACATCAGAAGACTCTCCGGTGTTTTCCTCCCGATCTTACTTTCCACCTCTTTCAGCTCTGGAAACGAATCGTCGAGTCTTTCCTCCGCCATCCCTCCTTCTCCTCTTCCTCCTCCTCCTCCTCCTCCACACTCTTTTACTTCCAAGTATTCCCGCTCTTTGGATGGAGAGGAGTTTGTGCGTAAAGTCACTTCACCTTTCCAACTTCCACTGTGTGAAATTACACTCTCTCTCTTTCACGCGCGCACACACACACACATACACACGCACACACACACACTCAGTCAGTCACGCTGTATTCCTGAACTCTCCACATTAAACCATGATGGTGAAAGACAAACTTCGCCACAGAAGCGCAGAACGAGCAGTGAAAACGCTGGAAGTGTGAACGAGCGAGCCGGCCGTCCTGCTGACGGCTGTCACCATTCACACTACAGAGGTATTGCTGGTATGTGGCCCAGAACATGATGCTGGAAAGTGGAAATGCTCTTTGTGTGGAACAATGGTGGGGGAGTTTGAGTTTCATTCCACGCAGAGTCACATGGAGAGGCTGCAGTGACACCTGTGCGCACCAATGATCGCATTACATACTCCAAACCAGTGAAACGATGACTGACTGTCTTTATTACCTTGATTAGAGTCTAATCAACAGGGTGTTTACTGGTCTAGTCCAACAAATTAAACCCTGATTGCACCACATGAAAAACAAACAAGCCCATACACAGGTTAACATCCTATCAAAAATATTACATTAAAATGTGACTAGAGCCAGTAAACCAATAACTGCAGTTATGCTCAATGTAATGCAGACTATAGGATATACACAGCCTAATGCTGTGTATACATTACAGTGCTGGTAGGTATTAAAATCTGAACTCATCCTGGGGTCAGCTCCTGTTTCAAATGTACTCATGGCAACATGTCCACATAATGTGCGGATGTAATAATATTTAACTTGTGGGAGGCATAAAGAAAAACTTACACTGAATCCTGAGAAGTTCAGTCCCAGATAAATTCATTAAACAAAGTAGGAAGCACAGCTGATGTGTGACTGTGGGAAAAAACACAGTGATCAAATGTTAGAAAACTGTTTTCTTTGCCTTGTACAAATATGCATATAAGACATTGTTCTATTTATGATTAAAAAAAATCTGTTACCTTTGTACCGTGTGGCCTGGACCTCCTTAGGACTTTCCAAAGAGACTAGGTGGAAGGAGAGAGGCCTGCACTGTTGCACTGAATCCACATTTAGACACAGACATGAGCCAAATAAGCAGCTAACATCTGCCACCCACTCAAATAGATGATTTATTTTTATTCGCATGTCATCTTGCCCCATATCAATGCCCTTTGAAATCAGGGCAACAGTTATGGGAACTTCCTCCCACTCTTGATGGAGGTTGAGAGAAGTTTGTTTAAGGGGCGTGTAACACACACTGATGAAGCGGCAGCAGCAGCAGAAGGTGAAGCAACCTGCAGAATGCATGTGTGAAAATACGTTTACAATGCTTCACTAGCTTACAGAAAACTAAGATGAGACCACAGAGGAATAAGTTCTGAGATATCTGGCAGTAAAAGTCAGACAGTGGGTGGAGGCTGTTTTACTGCAGGAAACCTTGAGGAGGGTTTTTACCTGTGGTCACTGTAGAGGGAGACAAACGCTGCTGCATCCACCACAGAGAGTCAGTCTGCTGCAACACTGTCCAACTGTTTTATACAGAATATAATTAACACAAGTAATAACGTAATGAACAAATCATCGGCACGTCATCACACAAACACACAAAGAAATGCAGTGGTTTCTGGCAGTTGAGAGACGCTCCTCAGTCTGTGAAAACAGTGTTGATGAAAAAATAAACTAAAAGTATCAAAATTAATTCATATTTGCAGAAACAGGATTAATTAACTCAACAAAGAAAACCATAAATACAAATTGTAATTTCCCAAGAAGCTGTCAAGTTTTATTTTAGACTAGCGCTGGTTTAAAGAATGAGTCATGATCTCACTCACGTGATTTAAAACATCAACATTTTACCAGCCTATAGCCTCACCTCCCTCAGTGGGCTACTCCACAGTTTAGAGGCTCATAAAATTCAGTCACTTACACTCTTAAATCTCAGCAGTGCAACAGAATCCCCCCGTCCCCACTGCAGCGCTGTGGTAACACTGAGCAGCTCCCAGGTGGAGAGTGAACAGATGTGAGGTCGGATTTTGTTGCAACACGTATCTTTGTGCATTTCAAAAATTGAGTCTATTTACCTGCTGTTTGGATCATTGTCCTCGTGCAAACTGAAAAGTGTAACTGTCACTGATCTTTCAACCAACACACTGCACCAATGTGCCAACGCATACAGGTCATTTCTCCAGCAATGTCACTTTCACATTAAGATTTTTTCAGCATAACAGTCTCCTACACAAGGTCCAGGTGCTCTGGAGCTTTTGATCATGTTATATGGTCTTCCTCAGCAGATGGAGTAAAGAATTGTCATATTCATTTTTCACTTTTCATCCATTTTGGATTAAAAGTTTATTTTGCATTTAAAAATGAACAGTTGGAGCTGAAACAAGAGGAGAGAGACACTTTACACATATATGCTGAAACACGTTGGTTAAAGAACATACTTGTATTGCATTTACAGCATCATTACTAATGACCAATATCCTTTGTTTGGCATATTCTGAGCTGAAATACATCGACAATCTGCCAGAAGCTGTTGTTTTTTTGACAGGGTTTACACTGTGTATGACCACAAATGATTGGGCACCATCGGCTAAACTTCAATAAGGCAAAACCAAATAGCAAGTTGAGTAAGAAAGCCAAGAAGCTTTGAAGAGATTAAATACAAACAGCCAATAATGTCTGTCATTTAAATCTCTAAATGGATTTCCCTTCACTTTCAATGGACATAATAAGAAACATTAATATTCCCTCCACATTAGCTATTGAAAGGCATCTGCTCAGCCTCACACACTCTCTGACTTTTGGTCATAACTTATTGCTTCTTTTGACATGTTGTTATTGATGTTTGTTTGTTGTTTTTTTATTTTTTATTTATTTAAATGGCTTCTTTTCTCTAAAATGGCCTTTAGATGGCAGCAGACATTCAACATTTCTAAGCACTCGGGCAGCTGATGACATTCTCAGGCGCTGAGCAATCAAGCCTGATTTCTGCACCTCTGGGATTTCATTCATTAAATCTGTTTTCTTAGGAGTACGGATCCAGTTTCAGCGACGAGGCCGCCACACTCACAGAAACCCTGAAAGCTGAGCCTAAGTCAATACTCTGAGGTCATCTCATCTATTTAAGAATCATAAAGAATATGTTTTCTGTAATTTTATAGGAGACCCTCGGCCATTAATTGTCCAAATTTCTTGACAAACCTGCTGCGAAACATGTTCCATGATTTCATCCGAGAGAGACGTAATACTGAAAGCAGATTTGTCATACTTGACGCTGCATTCTTGTAATTTCTTGGAATGAAAAAGCGAGTGAGAAGCTGAAATAAAATGTAGATTTAAAAAAAAAACCCCAAAAAAACAGGTTAATGCAATCCCGGGGGGTGCTGTAAAATATTCCCCACATTGAAGCAAGTGTTTTGAGGGCAGCTCTGACCCTGGGGTCAGTGTTACATGAGGTAGAGACTAATCATAAAAATGTTTCACACAGAAAGAATTATGTTTTTTACGAGTCAGGGCCTCTGACTTCCAGTTTTAGGGAAATCATAAACTTACACAAACATTAAAAAATGGTCAAAATGTGCATACCATTGAAAGGCCAGCATTATGAGCAGATAAGATTTTTACTGCATCTGTCGGTGCAATTAAATGTGATTTACCATGATTCACTGAGAGGATATGGGGTTTATTAGGGGAATTGCCCTAAATTTCTGCCAAACCACCTGAAAAAATGTGAAGAGCAGAGAGACAGACATGAAACCACATAGACTGCATCAGATCTGAAGTCTTGCGTAATCAGAAAAGAGGAGTAGATATTTTAACATCCTCATTTTATAGCCTGATCCCCCTGTGAATAAGCCTGAAGCGTGGCGTGTGTGTTTGCATGCGCTGAGGCGAGGGTCAGAAAAACAGCATTACAAATGAGGGTACTGGGCCAGGAAATCCTTCAGGTTCACATGGCCTGTGGAAGGTCCTCACATGCAAACAAAGCCGGTCAGGGAGGGTCGGGACACCTGGATTTTTACAGCATAATTAGGCCAGAAAAAACTCAGAGGTTCGTACAAGTTTCCCAAGGAAAATAAGCTCTCAAGAATGGAAATCTTCACATGTCAAATGTGCAATTTGAGAACACTTTTCATTTCCTCATTTAAAGTCATAGTAGAGCTGATTCAACCTGCCTTCAGAGCCGTGCTTAAATGAGGCTGATTTTGCCTAGTTTTGCTAAGTTAGCCAGCTGCTGCAGTAACTTCATATTTATGGCAAACATACAAGAGTGTTGTCAATCCTCTCATCTAACTCTCAGCCAGAAAGCGAATAAGTATATTTCCTATAATGTCAAACTTTACCTTTAAGGGTCTACCTGACATATCTAAAGAAAGGCACAAGATTAAAAGGGAAATAGTTAATAACTCGCACTGCACATGGATTTTCAGTTAGGTGTTCATGCTGCTGTGTGCATCTGTTTCCATTTAGGAACCTACAGTGAGATTAAATGAGTGTGGAAAAGTAATGGATCTCATATGTATAGAGAGGCACATTTACATCCTGTAATCATGTTGTGTTTATTAAAACCATGATATAAAGCACAGATCCTGGAGTTGTAAAGACATATATACACACACAGTATTTACAGTTCATGAGAGGCATACTGCGAATCCATGACCTTCCACTGAGAAGGCTTACTTACATGTGTGCACATTGTAATGTCAAACTGAGGCAAAACAATAACACAGATGCACACAGTGTGAATGCACAGAGGCAGGTTTTACACAAACAGACAGCCCATGTTGTCTGACTGCAGGGTCATCAATAGATTCCTGCTGCATCAATCTTTGTTGTTTAAACAGACGGCAGCGGCACCAAAGAGCTTGTGCTGTGCCTGATCGAAAGCTTGATAGGAAAGCCCGGAGGAGC